GAACTTTAGAATCGCCTGAGGAGGCTACCTGTGTAGCTAACAACGACTTCTGGTGCTTTGGAATCGCCAGTACACCTCGACAGATCACCAAAGAACACTATTACCGGCTTCGGCAATGCTACAAGGGTTATAGCTGTAGCTATGAGCACTTCATAAAGAACTGTACATCTCAGGACCAACGGTGCAGCAAGTGTGCCGAGAACCACCACTTCAAAAACTGCACCAATAAATATCTTCACTGCCTTCTCTGTGATGGCGAACATCCTGCCGTCGCCGCTGGGAGCCCCGGACGACGTGAATAAATACAGATGTCCGATGCCAGGCAGACCAACACCGCTCGCCGTCCACCACCAAATTTCAACGTGTAAGCAGCACGTTGAAATTTGGGTGTGGACGGAGCTTCTGCACAGCCTGCAAGCCAATGGGGGGGCCTGGCTTCCAGTCCGCCAACCAATCCTCGACTCGGCCACAACAGCCACAACCCCTCTCTGGCCAATCAACAAGCCAGCCTTCACCACACCAATTGGTATCCCTCAACATCAATCATAGTACTATCTGTAGACTCATTCGCCTGGCTGAAATGATGGCAGGCACGAACTGCAAGGAATTCGTTCGAATGCTTCCAATGACCTTCCAACATTTAATGTCCCTGAGGAACTCTTCACGAATACAGCTTCAGACACTACCACCACTAGGACTTCAGCTGCTACTACTTCAGCCACTGACATCACTATCTTTCCAGTTGCACTGACAGATAACCTGCCTGCTGATACCCACCCTCTGTAACCAGCTATAACTGCACCACCTCTGCAGACGATCCTATACCTCCTCAGCATGACGTCTCAACTGACGCAATGAAAACTTCTCCAGTACAAGAAAAAACTTACTCGTCACCTGACCTCCGCTTATCATCTGCTGCTGATTCTACTGCCTCTTTTGATGGTGAAGCTCAATCACCAGAGGCATCGAACTTCTCAACTATGCAAGACCTGGCTCTGCAACAAAGCAAAACCGCTTTTGGGTCTCCCGAATTTAGAAAAATTACCAGCAAACTCTACAACCAGCAATATAAAGAACTTCGAGAGCAGTATCCAGAACAGAAAAATGGGAGCCCCGTTCCTGCAATTGTCATCCTGAGTGCGACGAGTCCACTTTTCTACCAAACCTCCTCCGTCCTGACCTACAGGACCTACATGCTCACAGCATACATCTAAGACAGCAGAAAAGGAAGAAGAAAATTATAAAGTAAGTAGAATGAAGACTCAAGAAAGATGACACAAGAAAAAGAAAGAAGACACCACCAGAAGACAGACTGTCTCCACCTAGAATGAGGAAGCACCGCCGCTGCCGCCCATTCTGGGCCAAACTCAAAGTCTAGCCAGTTGTGGGGCTGTTTCTGCATCGACTCAAGACAGCAGCTGGGTCGAGCCCTGGCTCATTTCTCTACAACTTCAGCGCTTTCTCTCACCGACTTCTCTTCAGCTGTCCCCACTTCAAGGCTCGCCCTAATGGGTATCTTATCCTGTATATTATTGCATTGTATTGAATTGCACTGAGGTTCTTGGCTGTTCTCTCCCCTTGTGGCTACCTGTTGGCTCTAGGCTTACTGCTCTGTTGCCACCTGCTGGCTCAATGCTTAGTGCTCTGTGGCCACCTGACCAAAACACCAACAACAAGAAACACCAACGTGACCAAAACACCAACAACAACAACCTGTTGAAACACGAACTTCTGTGGCAACTACTGACTTTAAAACCCGGTACTACGTAAGTATTATACCACATTAATAACTGTAATAGGCAGAAGCTAGGTGATGCCTACCTACTAATGACTATATACAATTTTTTTTATGTACACTCAAAATTTTAAAATTATAAATTTATAATGGTTATATATATAGAAGTTTTTTTTATATATAAATAATTTTTGTAGTTAATATTAGGACAGTAACGTTTTGTGTTATAAATTTTTTAAATTTTAAAAATTAAAAAAAATTTAAGGTGTTTTTGTATTATTACATTGACAAATAAAAAGTAATTCCAGAAATTAAAGTTTTATAAAACAATGATATTTTAAAAGTAAAAAATAATATAATCCTGTTTCTCCTCCCACAAGAAATCGTCGTCTTTTCGTGATTTTCTATACCGCCATCATGGGTAACTTTTATGTTCGCAATTTTTTATTTTTATTCCAACAGAAATTTTCTGTTGATACTTTGAATACCCTATTAATATCCCCTTTGTGTACCGTATTCGTCGGCCACTGTCACAGTCGTCAGTAAGTGGAGATCACTTAGCTACTGGGCATTATTCCATTAATCCCCCCCCCCTGCCTTCCCCGTTCAATCCCAGAGCCTTATCCTGCAATTGGATGCAGTGTCTGGTTATGGTTATGTTGTGGCTGAGGGTGTGGAGGCTGGTGTTGATGTTGTTCAGGGCCTTGTTGAGGTTGGTGATGCAGTGCCTGGTTATGGTTATAACAATAAGCACTAATGATCAAGTCACCTCTTCCAGTAAGAGATATGTACAAGACAATCGCCAACATTCAACAGATTCTGACAACAAACAACCTCCCATGCATAACCATCCTACCCAACATGACACCACACCAAGCACCCATCCCTCTTCCCCCCCCCTATCAACCCCCAGACATCAAGCCCAGCTCCTCCCCCCACCCCAATCCCCACCTAGTCACCCCCAAGGTACAAATCGCAACACCATTCCCACCCCTCCAATACCACCCCTCCCATCCCCCCCCCCCCCCCCCAAACCCAAGGCCTCTAACCGGTTCTCATAGAACCCGCTCCCAGTGACAGCCACCCCTCTCCCTCTCCAGGCAAATAGATCACCAAAACACAAGATAACTCTCCAGACAAAAAGAAATAACTCACCAAAACACCAGAAAACTGAGACAGCACAAAGACGGACATCAGCTACCAAAAAGCAAGTGCCCTTCTTCACCTTAGCCTACGAGCCCAACAAGTCAGCCCAACTCACGCCCCACACGTTAGCCCACATCACAACCCCACTCCCTTCCTATTACCCAATACCACACAAGTACCAAACCAATGACCCTGTTAGCTCAGCTAAAACACTCGTCACACTCAGCCAAAAGGACCAACTCCTCCACAAACCACCCCTACACCCCCACCCCAAAAATGGCCAAATGCTCACCAGGAACCCTTAAAAACGGCTCCAACACACTCTTCATACCCCAACGATCATCCCCAGACTTATCTACCACACGAACCAAGGCTCATGGGAGAACCTCTCCGATTTATTCGCCTCAAACCCCCCCTTCACTCCCTCATCCAGTCAGTAAACAATGAAAATCACACAATTCAACGTTAGAGCCAACTACAGTATCAGGCACCTAATTGCTAACTTTGTGGAGACCGAAAGACCGGATGTGCTGTTACTGAACAGTACATTCGTGACGAACTCTCAGAATTAGATATTACGGCTACACACCATACAAATCCCCCGATGAAGCACATGAAGGGGGTTGCTATTCTGGTTAAAAGCACTTATAAACATGACCTCCTCACTACCAACTAGCAGCACAAACACTTCCTAACAATCAACATTTACACTCAACATGGACAAATGATCAGTGGCACCACTTACATTCGCCCAAACCTAAGCCTTCCTCTCAAGGACTTAAATACCCTCCTCAACCACACACACATACCGATCTTCCTCCTGGTAGACCTAAACACACAACACTAAACATTCAACCACCACAACACAACATGCACGGTCAACAACTACACCAACTTCACCAAAGCAAACACCTCACTTTCCTTGGCTCAGACTTCAAAACAAGCTACACACACAATGGGACTGGGAGACCAGGTCTCATCCTCACCAACAGAGCAGGCACCCACCTGCAACACTACATTACCCCCGGATCCATCACCTGCTCAGATCACATACATATGTCACTCATAATCTGCAGCAACCTCATACTCATCCCAGCCACCCCACATTATGGCTATCAAAATGCAGACTGGTAAGCCTTCAATCAACACCTAAATACCAGCACACAACCCTACAACCTCCAAGATAAACCAACGACAGACTCTCAAATCCTCTCTATCCAAAACAACCTCATACAAGCGGCTGACGCAACCATACGAAAAACTACCCTCAAAACCAGACACTCCTTCTTTCCCTCCAGCAGAACCAAAAGTCTACCTGTCTACCACAGCAGATTCTCCCGCAACCTTCACAGATACGGCCAGATAAACACAGACCTCACTATACTATATAACCACATACTCAACAGCCTAGACCCCGACCATGCCAAATACTGGAAGAAACTCATACAAAAAGACTGAACTAACAGGAAAACAACTCCACAACAATTCTGGTACTTCATAAAGAGGATCTAGGGCAACTCCTCCTCTTCTGTTTTTACATACATCACTCATAACAGTCAAATTTCGCTGACCCTTCAGAACTAGTAGACATATTCAGACAACAATGGCAGGATATCTTCAACCATCATCCCTCCCCCCCCCTACAGCCAACAGCAATACACAACATTAACAGAGTAGAAACATGGACCCGACTCAACCCTCAGACCATAACACACTACTCACCATTGACCTCACGACACTAGACCACTTACAAAGTGACCTCACAGCATCGATACAACCAGCTGAAGTAAAACTCATGCTTAAAAATACCCGACGAAAAGCCCCAGGAGCCTATAACATAGGCCAAGCTCTCCTCAAACAACTTCCCGACCCTCTAGTCCTTGCACTCTATGACATATACAACGCCTCATTAATAACTGAATATTTCCCAAGCCCATTCTAAAAAGCCATAGCAGTCCTCATCCCCAAACCCCCCAAATCCCCGACAGAACCCAAGAACTACAGACCGATCGGCCTATACTTCAACCTAAATGCAGATGTCCCCCAGGACTCAGTTCTCTCACCGACCCTGTACTTATTCTACATAAATGACATTCCTGACCCAACATACTGGACCTCTATGATCCTCTGTTATGCTGACGACGTAACCCAACTGATCTCAGGTTACTCGATAGACACCCTCAAACGAATAGCACAGGAAGAAATAGACAAAGTAACCTTCTGGGAACACGACTGGCGGATTAAAACAAACCGCAACAAGTCTAAAATCCCATACTTCTTCCACAACAAAAGACGATACCCTGTCCCAGTAAAACTCTACTCTCAGTCACCCGACCCAACCCACAACCTTGAGAGTCAACAACACAGTACTTGGACTCACATTAGACTTCAACTTCCGCTTCCACACACACACGTAGTATCCAAGAAAGCTATTGCCTCCAAAGCTCTATCAAAGCTATACCCCCTCAGACATGCCTCCCAAGCCACCAAGTTCTATCTATATAAAACACTTATCCTCCCACTCCTATCATATGCACACATTCCACTCTCACTTGAAGCACCAACAAACAGGAAACAACTTCAGCGTACCCAGAACAGGGCCCTGACATGGGTGTTCGATTCCCACTGGCAGGACTTCACCACTAGTGAGGTCCTGCATGAGAGGGCGAACATCCCGTCTCTGAACATTGTCTGGGACACTATAGGGAAGAAACATATTACAATAATTCTCACCTACCACGACAACTACGACACCTTCCTCAGAAACACCCTTATTAGACCTAGAAAAAGGCACAACCTCTTTACCTGATTGACGACCCACCCCCTGTTCCGTCATTTACGTGACTCCTCGCTCCTCCTATACCACTACTCAATCACCTAGCTCCGAACTACCCAGCCTCCTTAACTCTTCTTCCCCCTCTTAAGGGGGAGGACCTTTTAGCTTCCGTTTGCTAGATTCTCTGGGCGGGGCACGATGTTGTTTAGCGAAAACCAAGACCACAACTGGTGTGAACCTCCAAGACACACCCAGCTGAGGGCTACTATCACCGTGGGCGCACTGAAAGACGAAATGTTGTCACAAAAATCCGATTCCTTGCCTCCATCACTTAGTCCGGTCATAACGTTTTAATGCCATGCAGCTGAGTCTTGCCCTGGTACTTTATCTCATCCTAAAAACCCTTCCTCTCACCCCCACTAACTCTTCCCCCTATCCCCACTTCCCCGCTCACCCTACAGGGTATCATGACCTATATTTAATTGATTGATTGATGTGGCACTGAGTATGGGATGTTCTCTCCCCTTGTTGCTACTCTAGGCTTACTGCTCTTGGGCCACCTGTTGGCTCTAGGTTTACTGCTCTGTGGTCACCTGTTGGCTCTAGGCTTTCTGCTCTGGGGCCACATGTTGGCTCTAGGCTTACTGCTCTGTGGCCACCTGTTGGCTCTAGACTTACTGCTCTATGGCCACCTGTTGGCTCTAGGCGTACTGCTCTGTGGTCACCTGTTGGCTCTAGGCTTTCTGCTCTGGGGTCACATGTTGGCTCTAGGCTTACTGCTCTGTGGCCACCTGACCAAAACACCAACAACAAGAAACACCAGCGTGACCAAAACACTAACAACAAGAAACACCAGCGTGACCAAAACACTAACAACAAGAAACACCAGCGTGACCAAAACACCAACAACAAGAAACACCAGCGTGACCAAAACACTAACAACAAGAAACACCAGCGTGACCAAAACACTAACAACAAGAAACACCAGCGTGACCAAAACACCAGCAACAAGAAACATCAGTTGAAAGGTGAGTTTCTGTGTCAACAACTGGCCTCAGAACACGGTACACAGTAGCGAAGTGTCCCTCTACTCTCTAACAACTGTGACGACCACTGCAGAACACAGCATCTAAGTGATCCCTACTCACTGCCGACTGTAAAGTTTAATGTGTATAATGTACACTAAAAAAATATGGTATAACTGAAGAATTAACACAAATTTTCAACAGTTTGTTACTATTCTTGTTCTTAAAGATTAGCTACCAGGAACAAATTTCCAAGTAGCATGGGGTATGGTGAGCTCGTAGTGGAGTTATTGTGTTACTATTAATTTAAAGGTTCAATTTATATCATTAATAATTTGTTTTCAATTGCATGACATAAGTTTTGTGCTAAAATTTTTAAAATTTAATAAATTAAAAAATCAAGATTCAACACTTTTTGTCGTTTTATATTGTTAAATAAATTGTAATAAAGCAATACTTCTAAAATAAGAATTAATTGTATTCAAGAAGTAATAATTATTAATATCCTGCATTTCCTCCCACAGCACTACAATAAACAGCATGAAAGTGGAAGATCCGGACAACGTCTTTATGCTTGATATCCAAACTCCTAAATGTTTTTTCTTCTTAGGAGCATCACATCAATCACCAATGTTATAAACATAATATACAGTAATTAAATTTATGAATAATATTAATTACATCTAATCTTAAAGGTATTCCCTGGTAATTAATTTAAAATACCTCTTCAGCTGTGCAACTATGCAGCAAGGTTGCTCAGAAATATCAGCTACAGAACCTTTAATTAGAAGGATGTGCACCAATATTTTTAGCAATTTATATCAACAAGAGCGTAGTAGAGTTATCATAAAATTTGACAACATGCCAATGCACTCAGCCCCGGGTTCAGACTCATGGAATTCAATATTTATAAGAAAATATTTTCCTAAACCAAAAAAAAAAATAGAGTTTAGAACGTTGAAGATGTTGCAAAATATCCTAATACTTGGATCATAGAGTTAAGATGTATGATGATGTTGCAACACGTCTTCCTACTTGTTACACTGCAACATTGTTCAGATTTTGGACATTTCTTTCTCATTCACTTGTTGTATAGTATTTAAATACCGGTTAAAGGGAAGATGCGACGCCGTTGTCATGGAGACATCACTCCTCCTCCTCCTCCTGACTGATGTTTACACATTTACGCCATAAACTGCATATATGTCATATTTTATGCCCTCCAAAGGAAGCAAACAGCCGGGTTTGTCATATAAGAAACTGGGCTTTTAGGGGAGAATTCATCGTCTAAGTCTAAATGTCACCTGTATCTGCGTGAGGAGCGAGGTGGTTGAGAGATGGTGTTGGGTCGCAGAGGGAGAGAGAGAGAGCCTCGACCCCCGGCCTTGGAAGCTCAAGGAAATAAATGGTAGATTTAACAAGACGTGTTCTGAAATCGGGGGGAGGGGGTTCCTCTAAGCAGATTTGAAAGTGATTGATGGACAACGAGTGTTTTTATGTCGACTAATTCAGTAGTGATTTAGATGCAGGCGATGAGCCACAATAACGTGGCTGATATAAGTTGACCAGACCACACACTAGAAAGTGAAGGGACGACGACATTTCCGTCCGTCCTGGACCATTCTCCAGTCGATTATCAAGTGATTTACATATTATTAAAGCAAAAAATAAATGAGCAATTACACTAAAAATTTACGTCTTCCATAAAATATTTTTTCCTCTTCATCTTCAAAGCAATTGATTCTCAATGTTGCAAGAAATATAGATTATCTGGAGGCATGAAGAGAGGGAAGATGGATGTCCTGTCGAAGGGAAACTAGATAATCTTGCTCTGCTGTTGTATTGATCAGCTGAAGAAGTTGGGTTGGTGTAAACGTCTTAGACTTGTTAACCATAGTGTACCTAACTGAGTGCTTGATGTAAAGTGCTTCAGCTATGTCTGATGTCCTTGTATATCTATATCTGTCGATCATGTCAGTGTTGCTGGTCAGCAACAGGTACTCTGAGAGAGAACTCTATGAACATCAGAGGCCCGAGACTGTTCAACACGCTTCCGCTACATATAAGGGGCATAACTGACCGACCCCTCACAGTGTTCATGAGAGAACTGGATAAGCACCTCCAAAGGATACCTGATCAACCAGGCTGTGACTCATACGTCAGGCTGTGAGCAGCCGCGTCCAACAGCCTGGTTAATCAGTCCAGCAACCAGGAGACCTGGTCGACGACCGGGCCGCGGGGACGCTAAGCCCCGGAAGCTCCTCAAGGTAACCTCAAGGTAACCAAGGTAGCATACCTCAGGCGATGGTCTGATTGTGTGCAGAAATATTGTGATATTGCTGTTGAATTGAAGAAACAACCAGAAAGCAGGTGTTTAACAGTGCCTTACAATGATCACTGCACACAATAGTGAGTCCATTCGCATGTCAGAGTCCTCACATTCATGAGGGGTCCTGCTTAGTGCAAGACGTCACTGGGGTTCTGCTTAGTGCATGACATCACTGGTCTCCTCTCACTGTCGGTACTTGGTCACGTGACCCTAAATGTGTCATTGAGTACTGTGAATTTGTTCTACTTTGCACCATCGTGTTTAACGGAAATAATTCATTAAAATACAGAGCCTGACACCAACCTCATTACATAATAATCTGTAACATTACAGCCATTTCCCCTGGGTAGCGTGT